TCTCTGTCTCTCTCTCTCTCTGTCTCTCTCTCTCCCCCTCCCTCTGCCTGTCTCTCCCCCCCCCCATTGCATGCTCTCTCTCTCTCTAAAATAAAATTAAAAAAAAATAAAAAATATATAAGAGCTCAGGGCACCTGTGTGGCTCAGTTGGTTGAGCATCCGACCAGGGCATGATCCCTGATTTCTGCTCAGGGCATGATCTCCCAGTCGTAGGATCGAGTGTGGAGCCTACTTGAGATTCTCCCTCTCCCCCTCTCTCTTTCTTTCTCTCTGCACGCCCCCCCCATTAAAAAAAATTAAAAAATAAAAGATCTAGAGCTATGCTGTCATCAATGAATCTCACAGGAAACTGCAGGATAAATATGATACCATTTGTATAAAGTTTTAAAATATGTGTACTTTTAATGGGTAATTTAAAAGTATATGCTGGATGATGATGAACATCAAATTAAGGTTGGTAGCTGAGGGTCGGGGAGAGAGAAGGAATGGATGGGTATTCATATGTGGGAGCTCATGATGTTATTCTCTATACATTTTTATGCATCCAAAACATTTTATGCTGCAGAAAACTATGTTCACTTTAATTCAGTACTGAAAAAGTGCAATATAATGTCTTATCCCCTGATGACTGAAATGTAGTGAAGCCCTGCCTCAAACTTCTGTTCCATACATCCCTGTGCAGATTTTTTTTTTTTAATTTTCATTAATGTTTATTTTTGAGAGAGAGAGAGAGAGAGAGCATGAGCAGGGGGAGGGGCAGAGAGGCAGACACAGAATCTCAACCAGGCTTCAGGCTCTGAGCTGTCAGCACAGAGCCCAAGGTGGGGCGTGAACCCATGAAGCTCAAGATCATGACCTGAGCTGAAGTCAGACGCTTAACTGACTGAGCCACCCAGGCGCCCCAGGGATTATTATCATTATTACTATTATTATTTTAAATCTTACATGCTGGCTGAGAACTCTCTTTGTCAAGAACTGTCAAGAACTCTTTTCTACTCTATTCCATTTGTAAATATCGTACAAATTACCGTGAACGAGCGTACCAGCAGAAAGCGAGCACAGAATAAACCTTTGTCAACTTACCACTGTGTGAATGTGTTATATAGGAGAAATATTTGCATTTAAGGAACGTTATGTTTTCTTTGACTACATAAAGTACCTGTTGCTCTCTGAGAACAATTTTAAAGGTCTGATTTTTTAGGCTTTCTAGCTCGTGAATATTATGCTTTCTTAAGTAACTTCTGTATTTTAATTCACAGTATTATTTAGTGCTCCCTTACAGCAATAATTGAGTAGCAGGACTGTAAAAATGAAGACTCTTTAGTCAAATAATTAGATTGCGCCCACTGGTAGGTTAGTAAATGTTAAACAACTGGGTCTCTTTAAGAAACAGGTCATGATCTCACGGTTCGTGGGGTTTGAGCCCCTCGACAGCATAAATCACGGGACCACTTTATCGTTATGAGGTCAGTGCTTAAGCCACTTCCCGGTTACTGATGTGGAGAAGTCACAGAGGACTGCATTTTTAAAAGTTTAAGAATGACAGCATCCAGGAGATTTGCTATTTCAGCCAATTTTTATAGATTAAGATCCCATATTTAACATTGCAATGAAGCAACCTTTTGAAAAGAAGTCTTTGGAATCAGGACTATCCCTGTCCTTATTTCTACCCTTCTCTCAACCAACTGGGAAAACTCCTACCGAAGTGAAGCGATCTGGCGGGGCGTTTGAAATCCTACTGTTGTTCTGTAAGGGTGTGGAGAAAACGCTGTGGCCCTGTTCCAGAAGCCATTGCTTCTTTATATCTATATATCTATATCTAATCTATATCTATATCTAATCTATATCTATATCTAATCTATATCTATATCTATCTATATCTATATCTATATATATCTATCTATATATCTATATCTATATCTCATCTATATCTATCTATATCTATCTATCTATCTCTGTATCTCTATCTCTGTCTCTCTGTGTCTATATAGCTACATATCATCTATCTATATCTATACGTATATCTATTTCTATAGGTAGATAAAAGAATCTGCGTCCTACTCTTCTTTCTGGTAACTTTTCCCATGCTCGAGGCTGAAATAACTGCAAATCTCAACGCAAGCCCTAAGTTCAAGGCTAGGGTGGGAAAAGGTCTGCCTCGAAACTACCGTCGGAGAAAATGAGTAGAGTGGCCGGCGTGCCCGGACTGGTTGAAAGGGCAGAAATTCCAGTCTTTTACCCCCTGGGACTCCTTCGGCAGCCTCCGCGGTTTGCAGAACACGTTGATTTGGGGGGCTTTTAACCATGAGATTTCTAGCCGGCCTTAGCTTCGGATTCAAGAGGAGCCCCGGTTCCCGAGGGCGTGGCTCAGACGGGCCTGGGGGCGGCTGAAGCCGGCCTCCTGGTCCCCCACAGCTGCTCTGCGTGGGGAGAAGTTCGGCTTCTGCGGGCCTCTCAGCTTCTGGAGTGGTCCGCCGTGGCCCGCTGTGTCTTAGCCGGCACAGCCGCAGTCAATTGAATCGAAACGTTGCCGAATGCCTGCGTGCCGGAAGACACCGACGAACCTGTTCTAGAAGTCGGGTGTCACATCTGGAAGGCCCAGTGTGCACGGCCGGGCTAGAGGCTAGAGCCCAGCCCCGCGGGTCTGTCCCACACGTGTTGTGTCACCGAGTGCCTGCTACGAGGCAGTGGCCGCAGCCGCAGTGTGCCGCTCTACCTTCCGGACGACCTGTTGGCCTTGATTTGGTCACCTGCAGATGTCCCCGGCTGCCCTAAAAACAGCCGGCTGTCCGATCGAAAGCTCTATAGAGTGGGGGACCTGAGTTCGAGTCCTGACTCCTCCAGCGTGTTCCTCTGGGCCCGGCCTTATCTTGGCCTCCATCTTCTCATCTGTTCAATGGGCAGAGTGGTTTTGATGGTGTCTGAAGCATTCGGAAGCTGTTTGGGAAATCATAACGAAGCGACTCTGTGGCCTGGTCTGTCACGGTTTCGGAGAGTAGGGGAGAAAACCCATTCTTTCTCCTTTGGCAGAAAAATCGGACAGTGCTCCTTTCCCGCCATCAGAAACAACGGGGCTTCGTGGGGCCCCCCGGGTGGCTCAGTCGGTTGGGTGTCCGACGCCCGCTCGGGTCACGATCTCACAGTCCGTGGGTTCGAACCCCGCGTCGGGCCCTGGGCCGACGGCTCGGAGCCGGGAGCCTGCTTCAGATCCTGGGTCTCCCTCTCTCTCTGCCCCTGCCCCCACTCGCACTCTGTCTCTCTCACTCTCAAAAATGAATAAGTGTTAAAAAAATAAAATAAAAAAAGAAAAGAAAGAACCTACGGAGCTTCAGAAGAACCAAAACCCGTCATACTTAAGCAGAGAGTTAAGATGACCGCCCTGCGTGAACACACATTTCTTCCCTCAGCGTGAGTTCTGTTCTAACCTGTCGTTTCCAATATTGCAGCGGTGTGTTTCCACCCTTTTAGGTTAAGTAGCTGCAGCCGTTTGGGAAGCACTAAAACGCTTCTTCCGTGGCCACTGCCAGCGCCCTGGGTGGAGTCTAGCGAGGACCTGGCTGTGAAGTCGCTGGCTCTCGGGCGGGCTTCGGGGCCCCCCGCGTGTTGGGTTGTGGCCACACGCGGCAGGTGGCTCCCGATGACTTCAGTCGTTGCGGGAAAAGGAGAACCGTGGCTGGGAGACTTAGGGGCCCAGGATCTTCTTTCTCTGCCACGGGGAGGACCCGTCCCAGGAAGCGTCAAGCCACCCCCCCTTGCTGCCTTTGTCGGTGTGGTCTCCATGGCCACCGGGCCTCGACTGGCTCACTTTGATCAACCCTGGAGTGCTGGGGCTCCAGACCGTTCGTTATTCAAACATGAAGTAACGCGTTTGCACGCGTGAATCGGGATCCTCCTCAAACCTAAGGCGGCCAATCGGAGTGTCTCCTGTCTCTCCCTCCTTTAGCCAACAAGAGCAGAACTGGCTTCCTCTGTTCGTGAAGCGTCAGCCTCACTCATTATTTTTATTCCGGCCTCCTTTCATGATACGTCATTTTAGTGACGTCCCAAGATACATAAACGTGGATTCATATTTGACGAACATGTCAGCGTTTGGCACACAGTGTTCAGTCCTTGAATATTTGTTGAATAAAGGAACGAGACACCCCGAAATCACCAACTAGCAAGGTCCACGAAAACTCAGATGTGCTGTATTGCACTTGGGCCCATTACGCCGAGGGCCCTGCCGAACGTAGCGTTTGGGACACGTCTCTGTGAATGACGCGACAAGGAACACTTTTTGAGACGTTTGAAAATGCATTTATTGATATTTAGGTTTGAAAGCCTAAAGTAAAAAGGTATGAACTAGAGGCACTTGAAAGACCTCAGCGAGAGGGAGGCCTGGCTGGGGGTGAGGTGAGGGCAGCAGCTCGGTGGGGTGAAAGTGGTCCCAGACGTGATTTTGTCAGTAGTTCCCCACGTCATGAAATACAGGATGCCTGATTCACATCAACCAAGTTCACAAAAAGCTGAGCTGTGAACCGGAACACCAGTTTATTAAGTCATAAAGGGAGCTATTCTAACACACTGAGGTCTATACGCAGGTGGGTCAGCCACCCCAGAAGAAGGTGAGTGAGTTGGCTCCCTGGAACGACTCATGCCTGTGAGAGCCCCCGGGGCACCCTTCTTCACTGTGGGGATGGGCTAGTTTAGGACCCATGATGCTTATGTTCTCTGGTCTAGGGCAACTTCTTCCTTAGCCTTGGATGATATTGGAGACACGTTGGTGAATTCTTCCTTGAAGACTGTACTAGGTCTAGATTGCATGCTGACCGTTCTCTTTCTGTTACCATTTTTTTCAGGCGGGAGACGAGACACCTGAGTGGATGTCACCATTCTCAGTTACCTCCATCACAACTCAACTGCAAGCTCTTAGAGGACTATTCTGGTGGGCCATTCCTTCCATGATGCATGTATTTTAATAACACGACTCTCTCAGAGGATCCTTCCCCTCAAGCTCCTCAGGCCCCTTACGTCATCCCTTTGCTCTGAAAAGCAAGTCAAAGACCAAACCGAAAGCAAGTCTGGGTTTGATAGACATGTGTAACCGTGGACAGCGGTCACACAGAATGATGTGGCCCTTCCCTCCTTTAATGCCCATGTAGGGAAAAGGAGAAAGGGAGGGGGCTGATTTTGGGATTAGGAAATGGAAGAGATAAAGGAAGCGGGAATAAGGGTACAGAAGAGGAACGGTGTTTCTGGTGAGTTTCACCCTGTCACCTGCTCCTGTGTTCTTCCTTTATGAGTGTGGTGCTGGCCTTATCGTGAACTAGACCAAATATCCTGGATACAGATCTAATAAATTGTGATGTTTTGGTGGGAGAGGTAAGAATGCTCTGGAACATGGAATGCTGCCAAGGTGGAGAATCAGAGAGTTGCCCCAATGGAGGATGAAGAACTTAACTTTACAATGTTGTCAAGGGTTGGACCTGTAGAGATGGTCACAATTTCCTATCAAAGTATATTTCTGTAGTGATTACATTTTCTTTAAAAAAAATTTTTTTTAATGTTTATTTTTGAGAGAGAGAGAGAGAAACACTTTTTTAATGTTTATTTTTGAGAGAGAGAAAGAGAGAGCATGAGCAGCAGAGGGGCAGAGAAAGAGGGAGACACAGAACTCAAAGCAGGCTCCAGGCTCTGAGCTGTCAGCATGCAGCCCAACACAGGTCTTGAACTTGTGAACCATGAGATCATGACCTGAGCCGGAGTCGGAGGCTTAACCGACTAAGCCGCCCAGGTCCCCCTAGTGATTACATTTTCTAATTGACTTACTCCAGTAAAATAGGAATTCTAGATAGATTTCTCCCCATAAAGAGAGAGAGCAGTAGTCATAGAATGTATATAGTCAAATCTAAAGAGATAGGAAAGTGATTCGTTAGTAAAGGACCCTGACCATTTTCAACCCCCAATATGTCAACCTTGGAAATACATTTTACTTTAAGTGAGTTTTGTCTTTTCTTTAATCCAGTTGACATACCGGGACACCTTGGTATATATTCCATATTTTCCTTTCATTGCACACTCTTCACCCCAGCTAATAATTCCAGTTAAGAAATTAATGCCTTCCACTTCGGTAACATGGGGTCCCCCGCTATCTCCCTGGCACGAATCTTTACCTCCCTCATGGAAGCCAGCACAGAACATGTTATTATAGATGGTGAACTTGGTGGACCTAAGGCATGTGGCTCGGTCAACAAGGGGGACTTTAAGGTACTGAAGAATTGTAGCCGGTCGCCCTCTGTTGAAGACTTTCCCCCAGCCACTCACGTAGCCATATCCAAATTTGAGGAAGGTGTTCGTGTATTCCCTGTCAGCAACGCAAATAGGTGTTACGTAGCTGTTTAGCGTTAAGGGCTCGTCCAGTTCCAGAAGGGCAATGTCATGGCTGTACTTATTAACAGATGCATTGTAGCTGTGGTGAAGAATAGTGCGAATCACGTTTCGCTTTTGCTCTGTATGTTCCGTCTCCTCGGTGTTATGTTCACCTACGGAAAAGAAATTTCTCCTCAGTCACAAATAGTCTCTCCCGTAAAGAAGCAGATTTTCCAAGATTTTCGGCCTCACTGAATTCACTGGTAGCCAAGTGTCAAAGATCCCAATCTTACATCGTTAGGATTTTGGTAACACGTCACGAGGGCCGATGCATACTTTCCAGACCCAGAACCCATTCAGGACCATCGTGGGGCTGGTTAGTTGACCCGGGCTGATACAACTCTTACATCGTTCACGGATGATCAGGAATCCGCGTGTCACGAATGATCCTAGATTCTCCTACTTTCAAGCATTTTGACCCCCTGTTTGAGCACAGATAATACATTCCTTTGCTCACTCGTTCACATGTTAGCCGAAGGCTCGCTACATACAGGCTCAAAGATGAGTGATGTGACGTGACTTTTGGGGAGGCTCAGTGCGCCGGAGAAATGCGCACCTCAATAAATAATTCCACCCCTGTGAGGCGGGCGCTAACATAGGCACACCCAAGGAACAGTGGGGGGGGGCTTGGTGGATGCAACAAGTTGGGTTCTGGCAATGTGTCTCCTCTGGCACTAGCCCAACTTATTTAGGAAAGCTCTTCTTAGACCTTAGGAAAGTACACACAGCATACAGGGATACCACAGATGCTATCCTGTTTTGTTTATTTACCTGCAACAACAGTAATTTCAACATCCGGATTAATACAGTGGGCTGCAGTTACCACCCATCTTTCATTGATGATGGAGCCTCCACAGAACGCATCAATTTTCCCTTTCAAAAGGACCTGTGGAAACAAAATTGTGAAACTCACTACATCATGTGCCTGATCTAGAACAAAATAAATTCAGGTGCTGTTGATAGGAGTGGGCAAAACGTTGGATTCTAGGTGCTGGCAGAACTGGAGCGTTTCTGGAAAGTGTCAGCTTTGCAGATGACTTAGTGTTTCCGGAGCACGATCAAAAAAGCCATTTCTGCAACGGTCTCAAAGAGAATGTGCAATGACAGCCAGGGGGAGCTCTAGATGAGGCAAATATGAGGGAACAGCTTCGGTGATTTGTGGCCCTTGGATGCCTTTTCCAGGTGAGTCAGATTCTCTGATGGCACACACATCGTTTCATGGGGATATGGCAGGTAAGTTCAGAGATGCGCGGACTTGACTCCTCCAGATCCATTGTTGTTATTGGGTCTTCTGTCCCTGCGTGAGGAACTCTTGCTAGAGGGTGATTTGCAAGAGAAAAACTACTGATTTTTCCATGAAGTCCTTTTTTTTTTAATGTTTATTTTTGAGAGAGAGAGAGAGAGAGAGACAGAACAGAGTGTGAGCAGGGGAGGGGCAGAGACGGAGGAGACACAGAATCCGAAGCAGGCTCCAGGCTGCGAGCTGTCTGCACAGAGCCCAACGTGGGGCTCGAACGCACCAACCGTGAGATCATGACCTGAGATGAGGTCAGACGCTTAACCGACTGAGCCACCCAGGCGCCCCTCTGTGAGGTCTCTTTAAGTATGAATTGAGACCACTGGGCTCCATAAGGGCGGTGCTTACAGCCATCCAGGCAGTGAAACACAGCAGGACACATGCACTCCTTCCCTTGTCCCCCTAGCCATATTCCACACCCCTTGGCTAGATATGTAAGCTGCCTCTGTCCTGAAAAGGTCTACTTAGCTGTGCTTGGGCAAAGTGGACAGAGGTGTTTGGGTGCCTGGTTTGAGCCTGGGCGTTATTAGACAAGAGGCCGATCCATTCTTTCATCTGTACGTTTATTGTATAATCAGAGTGGACAATGAATGTTTTTACCACCTCAATATCTAGATCAACTTGAAAAATTTCACTTCCATTGCACCCTGAGCCACCTGCTCAGGAAAAAAAAAAAAAAAAAAAAAAAAA